ATAAATCCTGTCAAGCAATTCCATTCTGGTATCCAAAATGGAAGGCGAGGTCGAGGAAGAGGTAGAGTAAGGGGAGTCAACAGACAGAACTCGAGTGTCAGCCAACTTAACCTCAGCAGTATAGGCCAGGTAATGACACACATTTTCATTGCTTTTATTTACTTAAACGATCTTCAGACTATTCAGCTTTAATGTCAAAGCAGTGGACACGAGGCTTTCAAGAATATTGTTGAGAATAAAGAAAAATGCTGTGGAATTCACAGATATAATCGCTCATTACAGACATGAGGGTAAGATAAAGTTAATTTCTAGGCATATTAACATAGGAGATAAGTAAATGAATGAATCCAATGTTAAAAAATGCTAGTCATCAGAGGCAGGGGAAGACGAGGGTTGTTACATCTGCTGATGTTACAACTGTTGTACAACATTGGTACCTCAGAATTCGAACATAATCTAGTCCAAGACTGTTAAAATTCCAATTCCAAGGCAGTTTTTTTAAATTGAAAACTAAATTTATCTGTTTCATGGCCCAACAAACTCAGATTTTAGAATTTAGTTTCCTAAATACAGCACCCTGTAAATGTAGTAACAGATAAGGACCATATTTGAATTTAAAAAAAAAAGAAGTTATAAAAACATTGGATTTACTGTACCTTAATAGGAATGTGAGTTAACCTCCATGATAATATCATCAGGAATCATTTCTGGTGCCTAATATCATCTTCTTTCATCACTTTTAAAGGGTTTGTGTAGTTTTTTTGTTGAGAACCTGTGTTCCGAAGTGCTGATGTTGGTGATCATTTTCTAAGTTTTTAAAAATGTTCTGTAATGTTATCATTGAATACATTAACGTACCTGTTAACTAGGGCTCTATAAGGGTGCCAGGCATTCTGTTTCCAAGGCAGCTTACAAGTTCTGAGGCAAAATGTACCTGAATTTTTTTTTTCATTTTTCAAATTGTTCGATTTTTAAAGCCCTCTAATTTTGATGTACTACTATAGTTGATGTTTACTTTTGTTTTTATGCATTTCTTTACTGCTATGAATTCACTGTATGCATTGCACATGAAATTGAAACTTGTTTACAGTTAAGATCTGTATTAATAAAATAGATACAAATGTGTCTCAGAATGTACCAATGAGACATGAAACAGAAAGGGTTGGAGCCAGCTTTTATTGTAAAACTGATACTTGATTAGTTTGATTCACCAGTTTGTCAACACAGTAGTCTTAATGCAGTCTTTCATGGAGTATTTATTTAACAACAGCTTTTTAGTCAGCATATTTTGTAATATCAGTACTACACATTTTTCTTAGAAGTAAAAGTGAAGACAGAGCTGGTCACAAACTCCTTGTTTAACTTATGACGACTTTCTTCTTCTCCTCCTTCTCCTTTTTTTTTCCCTCTAAAAATATTATCAGTGTTTGGGTAGAGATGTATCTTCTGTATGCTCTCTCTGATATGTTCCCCACATGGGTAGCAGAGCGACATTAGAATAGGGTAGGAGGGGGAATACCAACCACTCCCCCCCCCCCCCCCCCCCCACAACAAGCATGTCATAAAAGGCAACTATTTAGGAGTGTTTCCTTCTAAAGCTGGGGCGATCATCCACTGGTGGGGAATTGAGGAATGGCCTCTAGATTTAGAGGTTAGCTGTGAATATCCAATAAGCAGCTGCCGACCAACTGGCAGTGGGCACAGAGGGTGAGGCAGGATTTCAGGTTGGGATCTGAAATCCTTATAAAATACCGCTTATGCTCAGAGATGTGCCTGCCTGGTGGGTTGGGGTGCTATAACCCCTTTTCCCAGGTAGGTGGAACCCATTAGCTTTGGACAGCAGTCCATCTAGGAGACCGCAAACTCTGAATATGAACCCCTAAGTTCAAGTTGGGCCAACTTGATGGCCACGGGTGAGCTGGTCATGAATGTTGGATGTCTGGTGGGCGTGCCGGGCGGCACCAGACGTATGGACTCCTATGGGACATCCACTGCCCCTTCCCTAGCAGACAAGCAGTTCTAGGGTTACCGGTCATTTCCTGCAGTACTCTTTTTTTGGCATATGGATTTAAAAAAATATACATAGGAATCGTCGCCAGAGCTACGGAGCATGAGCTCTGCACTTGACACATTTTTCAGCAGTTCGTGAAGAGAGAGTGAGGAGAAGACGAAGAGGGAATGGAGAGAGAAGAAGGCATAGAAATAGGAGAACAGGTGGTAGGAGAACAAGACGAAAAGCAAAGAGATTGGGCTTCTGTCATGTAAGAGTAGGATACTTGAACTGTCGGAGTCCTAGGCAGAGAGATCCTGTACTTGAGAGGTTGATTTTTGATTTTGATGTCATGCTCCAGGAGCTAAATACAGACATATATCATTGCCCTGGGTACGTCAGTTGTATAAACCCTGTTGGACAGGGGAGACATGGACAAGGTTTTTTCAGAAGGGAGCTATGGGGCTGGCTCAGGGAATTGGAGGAGTTACCAGGTGATAGGTTACTCGTATGTGGGGATTTCAACACGAGGAACAGATAATGGGACAGCAATGGAGAAATCCGACAGGCAATTGCCCTTGCAGAGGCCATGGTTGACTCCGATATGGTCTGCATCAATGATGGAAGGCCGACTAGAATTGCAGTGAGGTCTGGCGACGCAGACACAGCCATTGACTTGACATTTGTCTCCCAGTCGTTGGTTTTAGATGTTAAATGGACTGTCCTGAATGACCAAGGGAGTGATCAACTACATGATCGGTCCTGATTTCTAAAAATTAGTGAGGTATAAGTGGACCAACAACCTACTTGGACGCCTCAGACAGGGAGCATGCAACAGGACTGCCAGAACTTATTTGTACAGCCCTGATGGTGGACTCCAGAAGTAAAACAGGCATGGAAGGCAAAGAGAGCTGTAGTGAAGCAGCTAAAGAAAGTACAACAGACACCATCAAGCTCACGAGAGGAAGCTCAGACAGATCATAATGATGTAGACATCAGGGATGCAGCTAGAGAGTAGTTAGCTGGCACTTTAAGGAATATGTATTATTATCTTCTACTTGTAGAAATTTTGAAGAAGGCAAAAGACACTGCACCAGGGCCTGATGGGGTCAGGTATGGCCACATAAGGGCTTTGAGCGATGTAGACCTGGCAGAGATGACCGACTTCTTTAACCATAGCATTAAGACAGCATCATTACCACATGACTAGGTGCACAGCTATCTAATCCCACTGCCAAAACCTCTTAAGGATCATTCAAAGCTCTGTGGCTTTAGAATCATCACCTTACAAAACACATTTGGGAAGGTCTTGGAGAAGATAGTTGCTGTAAAGCTGCATTTTGGAAAGGGAGACCTCTCGCAAGAGGTCTGGAAAGCTACAGACCAGGAAAGGACACATGGGCAAATGTGGCCACTTTTGCTTTTGTCGTCTATGAAGGGTTCCAGAACAGAGAGGAAACTATGGCAGTAGCACTGGATCTCGAAAATGCTTATAACAGAGTAAGATATGTCATCTTGATGACTGCACTGAAGGAGAAGGAGGTCAGTCCATGGCTGGTGAATTGGGTTGCAGCTGTCCTGTATTCACGTCAGGTTGCTCTCCGACTGGGCTCATGGACCTCAGAACCATGCAGTTTGGCCCCAGGACTGCCACAAGGAGCCGCCATCTTGCCTGTGGTCTTTAACATGTATACGAGCAAGATTGCAAGCCTAGAAGCACTAGGTGTTGGAAGGATACTGACTTTTGCGGATGATATACTTGCACAAGCAACAGTAGACAAAGTGACTGAGTAGTGTACAGAAATGAGGGCTGTCGTCCAACCAGAAATGGCTTCTGTTTTGTGGTGTTCTTTAGACAACAGGATCGTTAGAGCTAATGTTCTAAGTCTCACGATAGATGGTAGAAACATCAACAGAGAGAACAAACTGAAGTATCTGGGAATTACATTTGATAGGTGCCTGTTCTTTAAGGACCTTGTGGAGAGTGTTGTGACAAGATGCCAAAAAGGACTTAGTGCACCTAAGACAGTGCCTGCAATTGACATAGAGCATATAATGCTTTTCACACCATCGGCACCTGATCCTGTCAGTGGTTGATTATGGCCAACATCCAGCTTAAGAATGGAGGTGGAGGGGGTCACTGCAGCTTTCCGCTGGTTGGAGAACACGACACACATAAACACAGATGAGGAGTATTGTCTGTATTTTTTTACCGGGTTACGTCAGTGTGTTAGGAAATGAACAGGCAGACAGACTGGCTGGCTGTGCACAGCTTGGTGGAATACTGATACATGATTAGGCAGACGTGGTTAGTGCCTTGGGAGAGAGTGTACAGTTTGGAGGAGCAGATGGATCACCACAGTCTGGTGAGATTGATGCAGGGGGGAGTGACAAGAGGTTCTGGCAGATGCTCGAGGCTCAGAGGAAAGGCAAGAATGATGCTTAATCAGAATGCTACTGGCACCATTAGTATCGGAACTCTTCACTGGCTGCTAAAGATAGGGACGAAGCGCTTATTGTAATGCCCCGAGTGCTGTGATGTTGGTTCTTTAATCAACTCAAGTAGGGAACGTCAGCCTGAAAAAAACGAGGAGCAAAGAGAATGCATACAAGTAATACGATTCTGAATAAGGAGTGTGCACTTCAAACTGAAATTGTGAAGCTAAAATCAGAAGTGGATGAACAACCAGAACCGTCCTCTGCAGTTTACAGCTGGTGAATGCTTAAAAAAAGATATGGTACCAGTTTATTTTCATCAGATGGCAAACCACCTCGTCTGTTGCACTTTATTGATTTTTAATTTTTCTCTTGTTGCTCTGGAGCTTTTCTAAGACATCTCATCTTTATTATGATTTTGCACTCATTAGTTGCACTAAGGATTCATGTTTGAGACTGGTGGCATAATGTAACTAAAAATTATTTTGTTGTCCCAGTGAGGAGCTTTAGCAGATCAAATACCTAAGACTATCATTAGTTGATTTTTTTGAGTTTCTCTTTGATTTCTTCACAGCAAAATATCCCAGTCAGAGGCAGAAGGGGTGGAAGAAGTGGCAGAGGTTCAAGACTGATGTTTACTAACAGTAACAATAGACAGCAAACTGTACAACAGCAGCAGACAGTTTCTCAGAGTCAGCACTTGAACAAGGCCAGGCAGCAGGCGCTTTTATTGAGGGAAAAGCAACTGGCCATTAAAAATCTACAGCAGGCACAGAAAAATGTACAAAGCATTAACCTGGCTATTCAGAAAACAGCAAGGGACGGTGTTGTTAATCAGCTGCGAGGTGTGAATAGCATTCAGGTAAGATTTTGCATTAATTCTTCTGTCAGAGTCAAATATATGATTGCAGCAGCCGCCAAATGTTTCCTTGAGAGCCAAACATTTCTGTGCTTAAAAGAATAATGATGACACACATCTGGCCAGTAATACTACAACTCTGAAGCATGGGCTTTAATATACAAGACAAGAACTTACTCTGTTTGTGATACTGTGCCAGTCAAGACATAAAGAGTAGGCTGAACACAAAACAGATATTGAGGATATAGAGACACTATTAGTTTGTCTGTGACTGGTCACACTGTTAGATTACCATTGAAAATATTGAAAGGCAAAATCCTTTAAAAAAGAGAAGAAACCAGAATATCTTAAAAAGACATCTCACACACACTCAAAAGCAGCTAGGTTTATGGAGAAATGCAAATAATTGTTAAAAGAGTACCGTGGAGAAATGTAAACTCTAGTCTTCAGACTAATTCTTACAGAAACAACTGAACCAGTTGGTTTAAGTAACGACTTTCTGAGACCAAAGAGTTTAAAATGATAAAATACGGAATGGGTTGGACTGAAACCTGGTGGGGACAGAAAGAACAGCACAAATCAGTATGATTATCTACTGATCGTCATGATCAAGATCGTCATGAGATTTGCTTCTGTAAGTTTCAGCATTTCACATTAACCATTTGGATTTGGCAACACTGTTTGTGTGGGTTGTAGGAAGAGTTGCTGACAACAGTGTCTGGGTTTTGTGTGGCACTGGATTCAGTGTACAATGGAATATAAGTCCATGCAGCAGCTCATATTTTGGATGGAACAGTTAATGTTAAGCAAGTTGATCGTATCTGTGGTTTCAGCAGGACTATGCCACAGCCTTTACTGTATGATTCTCAATGAGCACCCTACTGTTGCATTTTCCAGGCACTTCTCTCTCGGTTTTCAGGGGCCCTCCAATTTACCGGACCTCGCTTTTTCTTTTTTTTTTTAACTCTTTGTGGACTCTGTTTTTGAAAACCTGTAATAAGGTTTTATCTCTTTTAGTTGTGCTCGAAGTTTCAGAGCCATATAAAACAACTGGTCTTATAAACGTTTTATATAGTTTGATCTTTGTGTTGCGAGACAGACACTTTGACTTTAGCAGATGTTGAAGAGCATAGTATACTTTATTTCCAGTTTGTATTTTAATTTGTATTTCTTCTCTCAGCACGTTGGGGCAGTTGAAGTTTGCACCCAAGTTTTTTTTATTTTTCTGTTCCTTTTATTTTCTTATCGACTTGGTTGTATGTGGCCGGAGTTAATATCCTTTCCCTGTCTCGTTATTATCATATATTTTGTCTTGTCTTGATTGATAACTAGTCCCCTGGAGGCCTGATAAATTTGGAATCGATGCTTCCTGATTTACTTTCTGTATAAATGGATTTTTTGTGTGGTCCTTTAACATTGTTTCCCAACACAGAATTTAACTAAATGGCCTATGGCTGCACAAAAATAACATTTCTTTGGCTTGTTCTGTTCTGTTGTTTCTTTTCTCATTTTTTGTTCACTAAGTCTGTAAGATACTTTATGTATATTGAGTTTTTGTTGCAGATCGTTGTTGAACTGTGCACATACTGACAAAACCGACAAAGGTTGACTTAATTTTTTTGGTTGCTTGATGTATTTTAGATTGTTATAACTGATGATGCTTCATTGTTGATTTTCTTCACTTTTGGGTTTTGTCTCCCGCAGTTTTTGGATGCCATTGTGAGCACCATTGGTGACGAAACTTTCAATACAGTTAGAAAAATAATATATCAAACCTGTACTGATGGTGATTTAGTGACAAGAGCCAACTTCTTGAGGTGAATCTTGAAAGATGTCACAATACATAAATGTTCTGGCAGCTGCTGTGATGGCTGTTGTAATCTGCAGGTTGACTTGAACTGTAAATGACATGATGATGCTGGATGGAACAATCTGTAGGTTAACTTGAGAGGTAACTTGTCCAAGACACTGGATGTTTCCTTTCGCTGGGTGTGCAGTAGTGTTTTAGCCACTGTAACTCCTTAACTGACAATTTACGGTACTATGCAAAAAAATACAATTGGTAAATGAAATATTATACCAATGTCAGTGAATCATGGTCATAAATAAATTACTAATGGCACATTTTACAAATAGAGAAAAAAATGTCAAATAATGAGCCGATCTTTCGTTGTTTTAACAATGATCAGCTTGACCGATGACGAACATTGATCAACATCAGACTAGACTTCTCTTAGTTTTCTTCGATGTCATAAGGCCACATTCTCCCAATTATATCAGATCTTCACTTCCTAATATTTCAAACTGTTTGACTTTTCTGAATTTAATCTTGATGTGTTAGAAATTAAGTCGTAAACTTCTTGTTTTACTTTGCAATGTCTAAAACCGCCAAGTTTCGATGTTTACGTTTTTCTTCAATGGGCCGTGTGCAAAGTTAGCCGCTGGCTGGACATGAGGTTCTGTCAAGGATAGGTGTTTCTTTTGCGGATCAGCGTGAAAATGAGTTGTTATTTTGTCCAATTGAGAAGGTTTTTTTCCTACATAACAATGAGGACCATATGGTTCAGATTTTCCTCCAGAGAGCTCCCACTTTTAAGAAAGCTGGTTTTGTATGAGATAGCTTGTTCATATGATAGCTGTGTCTAGAACAAATACAGCTTCCTACAGTTACAACTGAAACGCCACTCGAATTCCAAAAGACATTCTGCCAGTTTATTTTTTCTGTTCATCTCAATTACTCAATCGCTGTTCACTTCCACAAATATGACACAATACTCATTTACTCCACGTTGACTATATTTAATTAAAACTACAGTAACGACATCACGACTGTCTTCTGACTCTGGTACTCAACTAACCACGAGTCCAGCTCAGGTTTTCCCTTGCTTACTCGACCAGCCCCAAGTATCTTGTGCGGTCGCTTGAAGCACAGACTTTACACCTGGAGACCATGCAAAGCACCTCATTACAAAGAATCACAAGCAGACTTTAGATGTGGCAGGGGAACAAAAGACCATATTTTCAATATGAGAATCATCCCAGAGAAGTTTTGAGAATACAAGATAGATCTTCATACTTGTTTCATAGACTACAGCAAGACATTTGATTGTGTGCAGCACCATAAACTATGGCATATAATGAGAGGCATGGGATTTCCAAATCATCTGGTTTACTTAATGGAATCTCTTTACCACGAACAACAAGCAGCAGTCAGAGTAGCTGGTGAAACATCAGAATAGTTTTAAGTGCAGAAAGGAGTGAGATAGGGCTTCATTCTTTCACTCGCCCTCTTTAACATATATGCTGAAAATGTTATGAGAAACAAATTTAGCGGTGAGGCATGTGAGAGCTTTGATCCAATTAAAATTGGAGGTAATCCTATCCCAGAACTCAGATATGCAGACGACACAGTTCTCCTTTCCAACAGTGAATAAGGTTTAGAAAAAATTGATTCTGGCTGTCAAAAAACACAGCAAAGAAGTGAATCTGTTTCTGAATTTAGACAAAACAAAAATGATGTCCTCAGTAAATACAGCACACTAACCACGTATCACAATCAAAAATGAAGAAATAGAAAATGTAATAGATTTAGAATACTTGGGCTCTTTAGTGAACACAGTGGCGACTGCTCAAAAGAAGTCAGAAGAAGACTTGCATTGGCAATGCAGAGATTAAATAGCATGAAGAACTCATGGCAAAACACTAGTAAATTGGTTAAAGTAAAAATCTTGAGATCGTGCATTTTTCCTGTGGCAACTTACGGTTGTGACTGGTTGTGAGTCTTGGACTCTCACTCAGTCACTGAGAAAAAAAAATTGGAGCTTTTGAATTAAAATTTTATAGAAACATTCTTAGAATGCCAAGGATCAGGAAAAGGAAAAGCATCAACATTCTGAACAAGTTGAACATCAAGGGGAATTGGCTCAAAAACAGCATTCTGTCCCGAAAGTTGAAGATTAATCTCCATCCATTATAGTTTGAATTAATATGTAGGCTTTCCATGCCTGCTAAATTTTTATAGATGTTTTCTCTTCCTATTTTTGCATTTAAATCTCCTAAGACAATCAGTATGTCTCGTTTTTTAGCTTTGTCTATGATATTCTCAAAGAGATCATAGAATTCTTCTTTAATATCATCTTCTTTATCTTCAGTGGGTGCATGCACATTATTCATTGTGATATTTTTCAATGTCCCTATTATTCGTAACTTACTGATTCTATCACTAACAGCTTCAAAGTTTATTATGCTTTTCTACAACTTTTTCTTAAAGGTTTTGTACATTCCATGTTCTGAATCTCAAAAGTCCTTTAATGTTCCAGGTTTGTTGTCCTTTTAAATTCATCTCAAATCAAGGCTTAGATATCTGTTTCGTGACGAGATGAAGTTTTATAAATGTGGGGGATGACACAGATATAGTATGACAAAATGAACCCCACTTAAAGGAAGCAGCTCAGAAAATGGGACTAGTTATCAGTTAAGATAAGATGAGGGAAAGAATAACAAGACACGGATAAAACCTCCATTCACATACAAATAGATAATTTAAAAAAATGAAATAAATGGAACTAGGGTACAAACTTTACCTAAAAAATAAAGAAGATGTATTCTGGAATACAGTCTTAAAATAAAGCATACTATACCCTACAATATCTTCTAAAATCAAAGACTCAGTCTCATGGATCACAATATATAAAGCCCTGATGTGATCAGCTCTCTGAAATTGCAGTACAACAGCAACAAAAAAAGGAAGGAAATGAAGCCATATTGCATTTTTTTTAGTCTTACAACAGATCTATAACCCTATGAAGTATGCAGATCATGGAGAATGGAGAATAAGAAGCAACAACAAAATTCATAATCTGTTTAAACCACCATTGGTTTCATGAGGATTGATAGACTGACATGGCTGGGACATGATAGATGATACAGAGGGAAAAAACTGTGTAGACAAAGGAGTTGAATGGCCAGTCACCAAGAGGTGGACCAAGAAGATCATGGAAAAATATAATCATGCAGACCTACAAACACTTGGAATCACCAACTGGAAGGAGAAGGCCATTCACAGAGATGAATGGAGGCAGATAATATTTGCAGCAGTGAACCTCAAGGGCCGCATCTCTGTATGTATTTAAAAAAAAAAAGTCTTACAACAGATCTTTGACCCTATGAAATATGCATATCACAGAGAATGGAGAATGAGAAGCAACAACAAATTTCATAATCTGTTTAAATCACTATTGGTATCATGATGATTAATAGACTGACATGGCTGGGACATACAGTCTATCAGAAGTGAACCAAATCTGGCCAGAGATGACTACCACTTGGTAGTCTGGTAGTCTTAGTTTCAGCTTCATAGCAAACGGGTCGCCCCATCTTTGCTCCGCTCCTGTGCCAACAAAAAACACTCAGAATGTTTATCACAGTCCCTTGTGGAAAGATTGACAGACTGCTGTCTCAGCATATCTAGCATACACTCGATTAAAGCATACGGTAGCCATCTTAAGTGCTAACACAAACAGTCCAACATTAGAAATGCAGTTCATCATTGATGATAGCAGAACTTGTCGCCAACAGATCAGCAGTTGCCCACGCGATCAATTGTAATCACATACGGGCACCGCCAACATTGCACGACAGGCATCACGCCATTTTCTGAATCTACAATTCACACCACCACGTTGGTCACAGTCGAAAATACATTCCAAATGCAATCCGCAGCTCACAGGGTCACGCCATGCATTCAACTCAGAAGCTGGGCGACGAAACTATATCCAGTCTACAAATGGAGCAAAAATACTTCGGCCACCGTCCGGCAGAAGCAAAAAATTTGCCTCTGCTTCGAACAGCGCCGCTGTCTAGCGTCCATTTTAACCGGAAGTCTCTTACTTGACTGGGATGGGCAGTTCACTATTCTATGCCTCAGGACAGGGCATAACACATGAAACAAGTGTATGCACAGGCTTTGTCTAAATAGTTCAATATTGTGCCCATGTGGACTATATGCAGACAACAGAACATGTCTGTAAGAGTGTCCCTTGTACAGCCCACATAGAAGGAAATATTGGCCCACTGTGTCAACACTGTACTCAAAGTTGTAAATAATTAAAAGGGTAACTGATAGAGACACACACATTCTTCTTCTTCTTCTACTTCGATCCTTCTGTCAGAAAACTTATATCAGGAGGCCGGTAGCCTTTATGAAAGCTATCGTGCAATCCATATCCTCTCGTGTATCATACAGTTTTGTCTTCAGTATGGTTGGAACAGGCCAGATTGGGTCTCTGTTGTCAGCATACAGTTGACAGTGTTGGAGCACATGCTCAGCATTTTCGGGTGCCACGCTGCAGGGACACGTCTCTGTATTTCCTACACCGAAAAATTTGAACATATGTTGATGAAATCTGTTGTGCCCTGTCCTTAGTCTGAATATAATAGACTGTCCCTCTCTAGAGAGGCGATGAAGTGAGTCTTGGGGAGAAAATCTGGTGTGGGTATCCAGCCAGCTTTCTTGGATACTAGATTGTATTAATGTTTTCATCTCTTGGTGGGTTAAGACGCTATTTGGTTGACAGTCACATTTATCACAAGAATTTATGTCAGTGCCTTGTCTGTCAGAGGTGACGACCACTTACTTGACCTGCATGGACCGGTCATTATTCTTTACTCAGCAAAAGACATAACAGACTTAACAAGTATATGCACAGGCTTCGTCTGAGTAGTTCACCATTGTGTCCTTGTCCATTTAAAAAACAAATTGTGACATAATAATACACTTTTATTGACGTCATTTTGCTTTCTGTGGCCATTCACCAAACCTGTTTTCTTGGTCAGAGGAAGGAAAATAAGTGATTTCTTTGCCCTGTTTGTATTTACTGATTACTTCCTTTTATATTATTTATATATAAAACTTTTTGCAAAATAATGACACTAAATATGTGCAATCCATCGTTTTAGTTACTTGGGGGCTGCTATGAGACAGTAGCTAGCAGGCTTGTCTGTCTGCTCAGTGGTCATAGGTTTTAGACCCTGGATTTTTGTCAAAACTGACCAAGACTCCACATTACTTTGGCTTTTTCCTCTCTTCCTCTAGTTGCTTAGGGAGATTGTCAGAAAATTAAAATGTACATGTTTCTGTTTAATTAAAGTTTTTTTTTTAAAGGCCAATTTGTTTTAAAGATTTGCATAGCCATAAAAGGTTAAAGAAATGAGGGCCTAAGACAGACATTAAAGAGAGAAGGCAGTGGCTTTGGGCTGGGTTCCATCCTTAATGTCAGAAGGATTGCACAGGAGAAATCAAAATAGGGGAGGCTACGCTAGACAGTGAGCCCTTTGTGAGATGCTATGACAAAATAGGATGATATTGATAAATACTATGTCACTCGAAAACTGGCAGGCTTAATTAGAAAACATAAAATATCACACTGAAGCTCTGAGCACTAGGAATTTCATGATTCCTGACCCGTAGACTTGTGGACTATAGTGAAGTAAAAAAAAAAGAAAAGAAGTCGGCACTTAATGCCAATGGTTCACTGGGTACATGGTGCTAGACACATATATGTTAGAGACCTGTCAGGACTCGATAGGTGATATGGCTAACATTATGCCAGCTACATGTACTATTCATAGTTCCTAATAACCATTTTAAGGAAATAAATGACCCTTTTCCACACCTTCAGGCGATTTGGGCATATGGGGCTAGACCTTTATTTTGTAGACCAATCAGGACTGGGTTGGTGATGTGGTAATCATCATGCCGGCCACTTTTACTTTCCAGGATTGTACCTGGTACCCACTCAATGCTGGGTCGGCTTGAAAGCCAAGATCTTTTTGGGAAAAAAAGTCTGCTTCTACCAGGACCCGAACCCACCATCTTCTGACCTGCAGGGGAGCATCTAGCTGCTACATCGTAGCGGCTCTCGATACCCATTATAGACTTGGTCAACTTGGGAGTAACATAAAAGTTATTGAAAGCCGTCTCTTTATGGATAATTGTGAACTATGCAGAAAGTTACATTACAATTTATGTTTACTCTTTGAAGGGTAGTGAACAAGGAAGGCAAAGAAAAGGGAGGCTACTCTCAGCATTGATATCACGAGGAGATAATAATATGGTGAACAACTTGCAGCCAACAAGGCAGCTGACTAACACATCGGTGACGATAAATAACCCATCTCTGTTAAGCCCTGTTGTATCTGGCAGACAGAAGAGGAGGTAAGTCACTCATTGTTAGAGTAGTGCTTGAACATTGTGGTTTTCAGTCATACTTGCATTTAGAAAGAGTGGACATTTGTTTAACCTGAATGTAAGTGGGCAGATAAATGTACACAGGGAGAGCAAAGTTCAAAGCCTGATAAGGTTGGGGATTGTTTTGTGTCAAGGACAAAAATTAAATCCTAATATGGACAGTCTGTGCGCCAATCCTCAGGCTCAAACACCTCCTTGCCTGCACCTTAGACAGTGGTAAATACAAAGCAGCAATGGCAGTTTAGTAGTTTCATTAGTGTGAACATAAACTAATTTAACATATTCAGTGAAGTGAAACTCTGGAAATGTATCATGAGTGATTCACACATTCTCAGTGAGAATGTAAATTGTGAAAGTTTATTACAGCAACTTAATAAATACATCAATTTAGTTACATCAGTGGAATTCTCTGTCAGTGCAGCATTATATTTTCATCAGCTGCAGGAATAAACATTGTTATACATTTTAGCAGAATTGTCTGTTGTGGTGAACAGATTATAGTGTTCCCTTCTGTCAGGAATTACTAGGTTCAAATCCTAGCATAGGGCTAAGCCTACACAGTGCGCATATACCATTTGGGAGTTGGAATTTAAAAAGATTGTAATTTAGGATTGGTTTATTTTTATGGAAAGTAATCTACCTGGAAATAGATTAAGCATATAATTTGGGTTGAGTATGAGCTGTCTGGACCAGAGCTTTACAAACATTCATGTTTGTGATACACTTTTTAGACAAATGTAATTTCGCCACAGTAAATCAGTCACCTAGAAAACTAGTTGTAAGAGATATGAACACACTTTCACACAGCAGCTAACACACTAGTGTGTCACCATACACATGTGTAAAATCTATGGTCTAGAAGAAGTAAAAGATAGGCCCATGGTCAATATCTACAGTTGGGCTGTGAGATGTTAGACATTCATACATTCTAGGCCATTGTATAATAACATTGGTAACTACATTTTTTCACACCACACTCTCTGCTGAGACAAATCTCCTTAGAAATAATGAATATTAAATAGCTCCCATTTAATGATCTTTAGTTGGCTGCTAATTGATGTTGTTCTAAAATAAAAATCCTACCACTGCTGGAGATTCAATTTTGACTGTCTTGGTAAGCAAGCACACCATTTGCTATGCTACAGCTCCATTTCACAAATACATGCTATGGTCCTAATGTCGGACCTCTGAAGAGGGGTGTATACATAGAAGAATGAATAGGAGGAAGGAGATCATCAGAATTCACCTCTAAAGGATGGAATAGTTTTGCCTTGTTTCTTGTGAGCTGTAATTTACTATTATATGTATGTGTGTGTGTGTATTAGGGCTGTACCGAATATTCGTTTCGTATTCGCTTCGGGGCCGAATAGTGGACCTATTGACAATTCGGTATTCGGCCGAATAGTTGCGGTCGGGCTGAATACGAATATTAGTTACCTTACACCGGCTTCTGCATACACAGCCTTAATACTGACAACATGGAACGATTGGTTTTGTTAAAAGCTAATGCAGCTTTCATGCATTAACTAAGCTGTCAGTGACAAATATCCAAATTTAGTTACTTGTTATAATCCTTAGGATTTTTTCATTCCTAGTTATTAGTTACCACTGACTGACTGCAGGATGCAAAACATAAAATGTTTTTAAATATTTACTTTTCTGTACGAATGCTAACTAGATATAGAAAGAATACAAACTTCGCTCACACCCAAGTCGATAATGTGAAAATCAAACGAACGAAAACATATAAGTACTTGGGTGCAAACTTCAACTGCTCCAACATGATGAGAGAAGAAATACAATCTAGAAATAAAGTATACTATGCCCTTCAACATCTGCTAAAGTCAAAGCGCCTGTCTTCTTCGCAACACCAAGATGAAAATATATAAAACGTTTATAAGACCAGTCGTTTTATATGGCTCTGAAACTTGAGGCAGAAATAAAAGAGATCAGGCCTTATTACAGGTTTTTGAAAACAGTCTTGCGACAAATCTTTAGACCCATCAAAGATGCTAACAGCGGGGAATGGAGAGTGAGAAGCAACAATGTAACATCTAATCTGTTTAAATCACTATTGATCACTGGCACCATAAAATCTTACAGACTAAAATGATTGAGGCATATTTAAAGATTGTCAGATGACAGGGAAGTAAAACTGTATATACCTGAGAGAGGAATGGGCGTAGACCACGAAGCAGACAAAAAAGAAGTTCGAGAGATAATGTCCAGCCAGACCTGCAAACAAACTGGTGTCACAAATTGTGAAGAGAAGGCCAGCCAGAGAGATGAATGGAGACAAGTGCTATCTGCAGCAGTAAACCTCAAGGGCTCAGAATGCTAAATAAGAAGATGACTATTCTGTGCTACTTTATGTGAAGTAAAAATTTAGCGTACATTTGACATTATGCATGTGTTTTTTTTTTTTTTTTAGATATATGTTATACACTCTACATGTCTGCACCAGACGTAGAACTGCAGACCAACAATGATAGTCCACCAATAATGACTGCAGAAGTTGAGGATGCAATACATCATATGAAGAAAGGAAAAGCACCCGAGCCAGACAACATCTCACTGGAAGAAATCGAAGCACTGGGAAATTTTGGAATTGAAATAATAACTAAACTTTTAAATGATATTTATAATAGTGGGTATATTCCAAATGACCTTTTAAAATCCATATTTATAGCTCTGCCAAAGAAACCAGGCATTTAAAAATGTGAAGACCATTGCACAATAAGTCTTATGAGTCACATGACTAAGATTTAACTGAGAATAATTAAGAAACAAAATTAAACCAGAAATCAGCGATGAACAATGTGAATTTGTAGAAGGAAAAGGTACAAACAATGCCATATACATCGTAAGAACATTGTCAGAAAGAGCTATAGAAGTAAAGAATTTGTACTTATGCTTCATAGACTATACAAAAGCATTTGACTGTGTGAAGCATGAAGAAGAAATCAAACTGTTAGAAAAATTAAACATTGATGGGAAAGATCTACGAATAATAAAGAATATGTATTGGCAGCAAACAGCAGCTATAAGAATAAACAACTGTTCAGGTACATTTCAAAGCATAAAGAAAGGCGTACGACAAGGATGTGTACTTTCACCTGATTTGTTTTCAATATACAGTGAATATATAATGAGAGCTTTAATTGATATGCCCAGAATTGTGGTTGGTGGGCACAATATAAACAATTTACGTTATGCTAATGACACAGTCTTGCTAGCAAGTCAGAAAGAATTACAGGAAATGATAGACATTGTGGTGTTAGAAAGTGGAAGAATGGGCCTCAGTTTGAATAATGGGAAGACAGAAGTAATGGTAGTATCAAAGAAACAAATTATTCCTAAAGGTGTAATAAAAGTCAGTGGTGTTATTTTAGGACAAGTACAGAAATTTAAGTATTTGGGCACATGGATAACATCAGATGGAAGATGCATAACTGAAATAAGAAACAGAATTGGACAGGCAAAAACTGCATTTTATAAAATGAAAATCATCTTGTGCAATATATCCTTGTCATTTAGAGTTAGAAAAAGAATTCTTGCTTGCTACATACATCCAGTTTTAACATTTGGCTGTGAATCCTGGACAATCGGTAGACAGGCCAAACAATTTTTAGAGGCCTCAGAGATGTGGTTTTACAGAAGAATGCTTAGAATACCTTGGACAGCCAAAAAGAGCAACCAGGAGGTTTTGAAAGAGGCGGGAGCCCGAAGACAACTTATCACAGACATCAGAAGGAGACAGTCATCAGTTTTCGGCCATGTTATGAGAAGAGGGAAAACAGAACATGTTGTGACCACTGGAAAGATCTGTGGAAGGAGGGATAGAGGAAGACAACGAGAGAAGATGCTTGACAGTCATGTTGCACGGCATGGAGGTGTGTCGGCACACAAACTGATACATGCTGCAGGAGATGGCAGATTGTGGATAGGCATGATCGCCCACGCCAGTCGGCAAGGCATCTGATGATGATATACACTCTACACTATTCGTATTCGTACAGTTGGTCCAGTTACTCGTATTCGGCCAAATAGTGAAATATATATATGTGTAGATGTATGTATGTATGTATGTATGTATGTATGTATGTATATATATTTATATGTGTGTGTGTATATATATATATATCATCATTATTATGTAGCAGGTCCTTTGCAGAACGTCGCTCTCATCACGGTCTGCCTGAAAGAAACTCAGTCTCCAGCCAGCTCTCCTGCCTTATGTACTTTTATACTCCAGGAGTCACTTATATCATGTGCCTATCTTCGTTTCGGTCGACCCCTGCACCTCTTCCTGGTACCATGCCTGCTGCTATAATTTTTTCCAATCCGTCATGGCGCTTGATATGACCAAAATATTTCAGCTTCCAAGACAGGATGCTGTTTATGAACTAATCTTCCTTGATGTTCAAATCTGTCGAGATGTCAGTATTTCTCCTCTTCTTTGTCCAAGATATTCTGAGAATCTTTCTATAGCATTTCAGCTCAAAAGCCCCTATTCTCTTTCTTAAGGACTGGAAGATAGTCCACGACTCACATCCATATGTTGCTACAGGGAAGATGTATGCTCTCAAAATTATAATCTTGATTACCTTGCTGGTGCTTAACCAAAGAAAGATTTTTAAGGCTGTTTAATCATTTTTGGCTACCATGATAAGTTTCTTGGGATAGTAATGTGGTAGTTTCCCGTTGCTTTCCACATCCACATGGCTTTAGACTAGGTTCTCAGCCTACAGCAACCTTTTCGATTGCTATCGTAAGTGAGTGCCCTGCTCTGTGATGCTCCTGCTAACAGCAGAGGGCACCCCAGAGGTGTCCACTTATCCTGGCGGATACTTGATCCCCATAGCTGCGTGGAGATGCAGTTGGGGTTTTCCCTTCACTGAGTCTTGAGACCAGAATGGCATTTCCCAAAACTTTCCAGTATATATATTGTATATATACAGTAAATTGATCAGTTGTAATTTACTGTATTGATTCAAGGATAAATTATTTCTATATAGGATATGACTTCTCAAGGTATAGATAATACATGTTTTTTTTTCCCAGTATTTTTTATGCTCATTTAATAATACTCTAATTCATGATTTAGAATATTTGTATTCCTTTTGTTGTTTCCTGATTCATGTTGAACTAACTTGTGGTATCCCACATACACATATTTTCTTGTTCTTATATTCATAGATGATTATTATAAAATTCAGTATTAATTTCAATGCATTGTTTTATTCAATCCAGTATTAATGTTAAAGCATTGAATGTGTGGTCTTTTAAAAAAGATATTTTATGTTGACTAATGCCCGAGTTCAATTAATAAACACATCCTTTAAACAATCATTTGTAGATGGAGAAGAAAAAATGTGAACCAGGCTACTTCAGAACATTTCACCATTCAAGTCGCAAACCAGAAGTATGTATTTCACTTTCTCCTAGTAAAAGGATGCTTTTCCAGGCCTTAAGGTGCATTGGCCGTATAGAACTGGACCTATATTTTATAGACCAATCAGCACTTGATGGGTGATGTGGTCAGCAACATAGCAGCCGCTGACTGAGTGTGTATAACATCCCTCATTCTGTGCTCACAGCAGCCATTAACTGTCAGTGCCTTAAGACCTTTTTTTGCTCTTAATATGACTGTCCTTGAAAAACAGTCCTCTATTGAATGTAACTTCTAGATATTTTAGTAGGTTCTCCTCGTGTGCCAACATGTCCATTTATTGTGATCTTTTAGACATTTGCTTTGACAGTTCTGTTGTCCACTGAACACCACAGTGTTTATCAAAGATTCTGTGATCCTTTGCCAATTTCAGTGTTATCCACCATCACTTGAGCTCCTCCGATATTCTTTTCTTATCCCTGCCCTGTCTGTTTGCCTGCACATCGTCTACAAATGTAAACAAATTGTATTCTTCCTGTACAGACAGTGTTCACCCCTGAAAAGAGTTGAATAGGAATAGACTGCTAGGCAGACCATGAAGATGGGAGAGAGGTAATATACAGGCAGACCTAGACTAAGGAGTCATTAACTGCACAAAGAAAGTAAAAAAGGAGAGATGAATAGAGGTGGGTGATATATGCAGTAGTGAACCTTAAGCACAGAATGCTAAAGAAGAAGAGGTTGCGATACTGTTTAGACAGAATTGTTTGATACTGGCAGATCTACTGTCTTGTAATTGTAATTGTTTTTTTTTTTTTTGTCAGCATAGTGGTTATGTGTTCAAATGTCACTTTAGATGGTAATTTCCCAGGTTAGCTCATCCTGAATTGGGTGCTGAAGAATATTCCGGTCAATAAAAATAGTTCACCTGGACTGTATGCCCAGTATGCCTCCTAGAATGGGAAATGATCCTTGATTATTTTACTGTATTTGTAAACATGTGCCTATAGTTTTTCATGTTTCTATTTAGTGTATACTCATGAATCTGCTTCTGCCCAACCCCCCTTCTCCCCCCCCCCCCCCCCCCCCCCCCCCCCATTTCTCTCCCATGTGTACATGTTTTATAAATTTTCTGTACCCCTTTTTCTAAATCTTGCTTCTTCAAACAGTCCAAGCTGATCGCATGTAATTGCTTTTATGCCACAACAGTTAAAGTTCACAGTGATGGCCGTCTTCATGCTTTATGACAGAATACAGTTGCAGTATGAAAGATGAGTTTTTGTAAGGCGGGACTGCATGCCCAGTTTGGGATCCTTTGAAAATAAAGTTTATTAACTTACAAATCAATAAGGTCTCCTGATTGATATGAGGTCGTTCTTATCTCACTTATTCCGTGTGGGAAAGTCATCAAGGCATTTATCTCTTTGTCTTTCCATTGCTCTTATCCTTTCAAGTTTGCCAGTTGTCACTGAAGTTTCAAGTTTATTTCCCATCATCATCTCATGTATCAGTTTGTGTGTTGACACTCCTCAGTGCCATGACAAAACACTGTCAAGAATTGCTTTCATTTTCTTCCCGTCTCTTTCTCTACAGATCTTTCACGTGGTCACAGTATGGTTCCAATTTATTTCTTTGCATAACATGACCCAAAAGTGACCACTGTCTCTTTCTTATGTTTGTAAAAAGTTGTATTATTTCTTTCTTCTCATAGCAGTCCTAAATAAATCCTGTCTAATTTTTTTGAAAAATAAGTTTGTTGCTTTTTGTCTGTCTCTTGAAGGACTATCTCATTCGTTTGCCTCTCTATCTGTAGTATTTGCATTTTCCTAACGAAAAATATTCGTTATCTGCTTTTAGAGGTTTTTCAGTTTGTCTATTTACTGGTCATACTTCACATAATACAAAAGAACAGGTTCTAGATAGCACCTTATGTGACTGATGTTTCTAGTCTTCTTTTTATTATGCTTTCTTCTCTTACTATTCATTTCTTTGTCTTCTCCTCTTCACCATATCTTTGTTAACCGGTTCTTTTCTCCCGGGCATCCTGATATGTTGGGTTCACGATGTATGACAGTGTCGATGGGGTCATGACCTTTTGTCCTTTCATATTAGGTTCAATCTGAATTTTTCGCTTTTTACGCATGAGGCGTTCGATTCCCCGCTGGGTGATATAATTTTTTTGGCCCCTAACTGGGTGGCTACCACGTTTTGCAGAAGAGGGAATAGATCATGATGGTCTAGAGAGAGTGTTACGATTCAGAGTGAGCAAGGCATCAGGCCAACACTCAGAGCAGGACAAAATGGACATATAATCAGACTGCTACTGGCACTATCATTGTTGAACTTGTGCGCTGGCTGCTTATGGTAGAGACGAAGCACTTATGGGCAGGTGCTTTGTGATGTTGGTGCTTAAATCAACTCATTTTTTTACTTTAATCTTTCTTACCATCGTTAAGAAAAATGTGTTGCATAAAATATTCTTCATATTGGGGAAAGCTGTTTTGACTTGACACATTGTGTAGTTCTTCTCTTTAATATGTCCCTCTCCATATCATCTGTTTTTAATTTACTCTATAAGTTGTTTACACTTTACTTGTTTTAATCTCTTATATAGAAAATGAAAGAAGCTGACCATTCAGACTGATTTTCTGAGGGAATTAATATTCGTAAACTACTTATTTATATGTGGATGTTCATAATAATATATAAATAATTTGTATTGCCTGTTTCCAGTTTGCAGCCTACAAAGAAACAACAGCCCTCCATTTTAAATCAGTTAAAGGTATTTGTTTTTTGGGGCCATTATAATTAATATACAATTTTTCTGCTTGTAGAAAATAACTGCAATAGGTTGCAGAAATTTATATTTATGGTGCCATTTCAATGGGTTGAAATGAATTCTGTCCGTATTCCATAGTCGTGGATTTCAAGCTGTACGATAGACATGGCCAATGAGACACCTTTTTCTGGGGGTGCCTAGTTGACCATGTATCTTAGTGCACTTGTATTCATGGCAAGGCGCAGACGCCGTCTGGAGGTGACAGGTTCAATTCCCAGCACAGTAACTATAGCTTTTGATTTTTATGTTGTCTAGTGTGTTCTTCTATCTTTCTACTTCTTTCTATGAGTGCCGTTCACAATACTTTCTGTTACTTGATTAATTCATAATATTTAACGGCCTCAAATGGTCCCACACCCCCCCCCCCCCCCCCCCTTTCTCTGTTTATTGAATGGAATTGATAATCTAGGCATAGTAGTATTGATGAAATTAGCAGTTATCAGTGCAGACAATCTGAAGACACAGTTAATATTAGCATTTGGTAGAGATTCCTAGACTTTCAACAATGATCAAAGTATAGCTGATCATTGGATTGGAGAAGCTGAGGATTAGGATAATTTTGGCCTTCTAATTTAAAAAATTCAACAATCTCATTATCTTCACAATTAAATTAGCTTACCTGCTGAAAATTGCACTCGAGGTGCCCCTATCTCCTTTTTTCGCCCTCGTCTCCATTGGTTGATTGATTGATTGGCACCTTTCTGTCTTTCCAGATGATAGTGTTATATTGCCCTTTGAGGAGGCATGGGATCCCATGGAGATGGCAAGTGTGACTAGCAAGACCTGCTAGTGTCATAAATAATGTGTATATGACAAGCTTCCATGCACTCAAGTGAAGAAAAGTGTTGCCAAAAATTAAATATTAAAAAAAAAAATTAACATTTGATTTGCATATATACACAAGGGAGCTGACTGGTTATAGAGCATGAGGTAGACCAAGAAGACAATGGAGAGATAACGTCCAGACAGACCTGCAAACACTTGGTGTCACCAAATGTAAAGAGAATGCCAACCAGAAAGATGAGTGGAGGCGGGTGATATCTGCAGCAATGAACCTCAAGGGCTCGGTTGCTGAAGAAGGAGAAGAATTGCATTCCGACACTGGTCCTGTAGAATCTGTCTAATGAAATTACATTTAAAAAAAGATATCTTGATTTGCGCTGTAAGTAACAGTTCATTAGTGTTGATAAGGAGGGCTCTATTATTATAGACAACATATATTAGACAGGTGCACTTTTTCTGGCAGTGCATAGGAATTTGTACAGAGGATTGGTAATTTTTAGTTCTAGCAAGATTAACCCTTTTAACATTACAACTAGGAATTTTGTAATCGTAAACAATATATTTGTATATAGTAAATGTAATTTTAAAAAGATAATGTATACATAACGTATATTATACCAGTGGATAGTTTTAGGAGATGCAAAATCATATAATCTGTTTTGTGCACAAACTAGATACAGAATGATATTTCTGAATACTGTTTGTTCCAGTCTCTAAAGCCTGCTGTTTCCACAACGTACAAGTTTCAGAAAAATGTATTTGCAGCACCATCTGTAAGTTTATTCTTCACTGACATGTTTATATTTAATTTATATTTATTTGCAAGTAACAACCAAATTACTGCACTTGATATTCAGATATGTTAAAGCATAAAACTGGACCATATTTGGACCAAAATTCATTCATATAAGAATGATCAGTTAAGGAATAATAGAACAGGCCAGGTAATCCCATGGCAGAGATTGTCATATTTGTGTGATGTTATTAGAGTTAGCAGATACTGGTCACTTTCCTTTATTGCCAATTAAGTCTCTTCTTGTTTCTTCTACCAAAAAAAAAAACAGTTTCTAAACAGCATTTTCATACCAACACTGTGCTACGAGTTCCAAACGTGGGCAATATCAAAAGCTAGTTTACATAAAATTAACACCTGTGAAATGCGATGCCTGGGAAAAGCTGCAAACTCATCCACCCGCGACAAAGTTAGAAATGCTATTACCATACAGACTAGGAACAACATCACGCAGCAAATTCATTGAGAAACAGAAGATCGAATAGTTAGGTCATTTAGTAAAAATGTAGCCAGAACAACTGCCAACGTAGGCACTACACATGAAAAGATCTGAAGTGAAAGCCCTAGGAAAACATGGATTGATGACATTAAAGAGCTTCTACATTGATACGGAATTACAGTAGCCATTGCTAGCCATCAATCAGTGGATTGCAGACTGTTCCTTCCCATGACGCTTAGTGGCAGAAGTGGAAATTGATGAAAATGTCGATGATGATTTCTCTCTCAGTACTCTGTTTACAAATCTTCAGTTTACCTCAAAGCAGTGTGCAGAAAGGAAGACATTTCTCTACAGCTAGAGACTGAAAGAGATTGAAAACAGACAACAGGGCTAACTTCCAGTACTTTATCCACTTCGCAAACATTCAGTTACAGGTTTTACAGAAAGAAAGAAAAAAAACAGGATAGAATGATAGCTTTAAAGTGTAAGATAAAAATGCTTCTCTTTTCATTCGCAGCCTTGTCACAGGATTAAGTCAAGTATTGTTCGTCCTGACTATATTCTGTAGCATATCATACAATGCCTATCATCTTAATTTGTACATTTTTGGAGGAATTTCAAGTCTTTAATCAAAAGGCAACTTGCAAATTTTTTTTTTTTAGAGTTGTTTAAGCAGTGGGGAAGAATGTATCAAATGTTTCACTGTGCTCGGGGCACACATGTTGAATGGTTCAGTTCCTAAGGAAAGCTTCTATGGTGAATTAAGATTAGTATAAGATTTCGTGGTCAGCCTCTTCTATGACTAAAAGATATGTGAAAGGAGAAAAGTTCAGAGCTGAATATTTGAGAAAAGTAATTGCAGCTTCTTCTGAGCCCTTGAGGTTCATTGCTGCAGATATCACCTGCCTCCATTCTCTTCTCTTTCCAGTTGGTGACACCAAGTGTTTGTAGTTCTGTCTGAATATTATCTCTACATCATCCTTTTGGTCTGCCTCATGGTCTGCGACCATTCAGCTCTCTTGTGTATATAGTTTTTATTTCTTTGTCATCTGACATTCTCTCAGGATGCCCTATTCATTTCAGTTTTTTAGCCCTCATGATGCCAGTGATCAGTGGTGATTTAAACAGATAATGAATTTCGTTGTTACTTCTCAATGTCTATTCCCCGCTGTTTGCATCTTTGATGGGTCCGAAGAATCGCCATAAGACTCTCTTTTTAAAATTATGTAATACGGCTTCATCTCTTTTAGTTGTGCTCCATGTTTCAGAGCCATATAAAGCAACTGGTTTCATTTACATTTTATAGTGTACTTAATGCCCAGATTCTATTCTAGACTGTATTACTTCTCTCAGTGTGTTTGTGCAGTTGAAGTTTGCACCCAAGTACTTATATGTTTCCATTTGTTTGATTTTCATATTATTGACTTGTACTTGGCCGGCATTTTATCCTTTTCCTGTCTTGTTATTACCATGTATTCTGTCTTATCTTGACTAACTTCCATTTTGAGTGTGGAAGGATTTGTTCAGCTTGCTTTTTAATTTTGCACAAACCAGGTAATGGTCAGCAGTCAGCTCCACTATAGCTTCTAACTTGTATGTTTGATGTATTTTTATTTATTAAAATGCATTCTAGGTTATCTTGTCACATGATTGTCTGGTGTGCTAATGTAAATCTTTCCTTTGAAATCTGGTGCTGCTTATCTGTAGTCTTTTGGCTATGGTGCGGTTGATTAATCTCCATCCATTATCGTTTGAATTTGTATGTAAGCTTTTCATGCCTGCTGCATTTTAATAAGTGTGTTGTCTACCCATTTTTGCATTAAAATTCTCCTAAGACTATCAGTGTTTTCCTTTTTGAGTTTCCTGTAGATATTCTCAAGGAAATCATAAAAATCTTTAGCATCATCTTTATTTTCGTTAGGTGCATGCACATTAATCGTCGTTATATTTTTTCATTTTTCTTTCATTTGTAACCTACTGATCCTATCATTAACAGCTTCAAAATTTGTAATACTTTCCCACAGCTTTTTCTTAGTGATAAATCCTGTCTCTAGTTCATGTTGTTTTGAGTGTTTCCTCCATACACTATGATCGTTTCATTTTCCTCTGTGGTACCTTGTCCTGGCCACCTTATTTCTTGAATCACTGTTACATCCATTCTGTAATCTGATAACTCACAGGTTGGTTCTTCACCTGCTCCAGCTATATAAAGGGTTTGTACATCCTATGTTCCAGATCTCAAAAAGTCCTTTAACATTCCAGTTTCAGTGTATGTTTAAATCCTTTCAAAATCAAGGCTTAGATATCTGTTTTGTGGCGAAATGTTTTACGAAGGTGGAAGTGACCTCCCCAGGCTTCAACCCTTAGCATGGAGGAACAGGGTGTCTCACTCTCTTTGTCTTTTCTCTACCCATTGACCTTTCTGGATTGAGAGGCCCTGCTGGTAGCTGGATATGATAGCAACAGTGGCCCTAAAATTCCATGCCATTATTGTGGACAGCTTTTCTGAACACAGGCTGGTCTTTCTAATCATACTTAGCCTTCCTGCAGGCTTTGATTCCCATGCCTCCCTCTAGCACAGTATAACACTTATTACTTGTTATCAGTATTGGCATCCTAGCACATCAATCCACCCCATTTGTGCACTGTTCTCCAATGCAGCAGCCAACACTAAGTAACGCTATTGCCTAAAAAGATGAAAAAAGTGCCGAAAGCTGTTTAAGCCATGAAATATAAGCCCTTTCGCCCCAGAAATGTGAAATGCTAAATGGGTCATAAATCTGAGGTAATTTTTAAAAACATCCATTAAAAACAATTTTAGACAGTCTAGTAATACATTCAAATAAAGTATATTTCAAATGTTTGTCCAAAAGTTCTTCTTCTTTAAATTCTTTGCCTCCTGTCTTACCAATTCAGGTGATAAGGAATGTATAAGAATCTGCTTCTTTCTTTTCTGGCTGCCCTGACCATAGACAAAACACATCACGCTGTTGTAGGATTTTCTGATGTTATTTTTCCATCTTGTTTTTGATCTAGGTTGTGCTGCACATCTTTTTCCTCTTTAGTGTCTGCCTTCTATAGTATGGCATCACAAGGCATTCCCTGTAAGTTGGAAAACTTTTTGATTTGCTGTCTGTGGATGTAATCTAGAATTGGTTCTGTGCCAACTTTTCTCTCAGGACCTCATTTATATGTTGATCTTTTCTGGTCATTCCAGCAGAAATCGGAATTTATATGGTTACTAATTTTCTTTTCTGATTTGTTGCTAGTGACCATGTCTGGTGCTGGTAGCACAGAGCGGGAATGAATATGCTTTCTATGAGATGTTTCTTTGTGATGATTGGGATTGTCTTATGCTGAAAGATAAGATCACTACAGACAGGCTGGTTTTAGAATTTTTACTGGGATATTGAGACAACGTAAAAGTCTGGTTCGGAGCTTCTCAGGGTGGCATGGTTAAGTCAGCAGAAATAATTGCAGTGCTAAGTTGTCACTCATTGTGAAATGCCATATTTTTTCAACTGTTTTATCAGGAATGTGACCCAGTGCGTACTCATTTTCATCAGGCATTTTGGTCATAGTTTTTTTTTAAAAAGTCATTTGCCTTACCCTGTCTTAATGCAGGTCAGAAGGTTTGTTTCTCCTTATTTAATATGGGAGAACCTCCCAAGGTTTTTGGGACAGGTAAGGTGCAGCCATTGAGCACTTTGCATTTATTTAGATTATCTTTGTTTGTTGCTTCCTTATCATAGATATGATACACTGACTTATTTATTTAATTTTATTCTTTTTTTTTTTCAAACTATCAGACTGGCGTGAGTCTTAGTGACAGATTTTCTGGTACAACTTCCACCGATGTAGATGATGATGTCACAGGGGAGAGACAGGTTTTCATTTGAAACTGTATACGAAATACATTAACTTATCAAATATGTTTGAAAATAGTCATTAGAGACACATGTGCTGGCTCATTGTTTCCCCATTGTGTGTATGCGTGCGAGTGGCAAAGCGTACCGATACTTATGTTTATGTATATTTTGTACTTGTATTATAAATGTCGTTGACATCATTTTCATATAAATCACACCTTACATATTTTAATGCCCTGTCTCTAGTTCATGTTGTTTTGAGTGTTTCCTCCATACACTACAATGGGGTTTTAGAGAAATAAAATTTCATTGAAAAATGTGAGTGCCTTCATTATAAAGAAATCTGTAAGCATTACACTATGAAAAGTTTTCTCTTATTGCTTCTCCTGTTAGTATTCTATAAATGTATGGCAGAAGTAAAAGCTACAGTTGTGAAGATTATAATGTCTTGGAATTCATTTATTTGTCTGTCTCACGTGTGCTGATCAGTAAGCTTAACTTACCTTTTCCTGCAGTTATATTGTACTGTGGTAATGCAGCGGCAAATAATCCCTTTTCACAATTCTAATGTAAATAGTTACAGTAATAAACATTCTGTTTCATGTGTTTTTTTAAATAGTTTGACAGTACAATTAAAATAGTATCCATTGTTTCTTGTTTAGAAATCATAATTCCAATAATTTTAGTTAAAGATTAAAGATCCCACTTCCATGTAATCTAAACATGTTATGATTGATTGGCACCTTTCTGTCTTGCCAGACCATACTGTTATATTGCATTATAAGGAGCAATGTGACTCAGAACCCATGGCAAAGGCCAGTGTGACTAGCAAGACCGGCCTCCATTAAAAAAAGTCTTCTACAGTTTTATCATGGTATTTGAGGACAATTGTTGTCAACATTTGTTTTAAGTCTGTTTCTTCTCAGAAGCTCAGTTCTCATCCTTTTTGCAGTCGTTTCTTCCTTTACTCTCATTCTCTTCTAGATGTGTACCCTCCTCACAACAGGGTTCATGCCATTTTGCTCCTATGAGTCCACCTCAATATCCACATCATTTATGTCCCACTTGCACATATCTTTATATCGTAGAGGTCCGCCTCAGCATCTTCTACCCGTCTTTAATTCACCATAGAGGAAATCCTTAGGGACTCTGCAATCCTCCAATCTCCAGGTGTGACTCAGCCACCTGAGCCTTCGTAGACTGAGCATTTAGAAGACTTGTAATACCTGCTCTTTCAAATACCTAAGTGTTTGTGATCATGTTCTGCCACTTAATGCTGAATATTCTTCTAAAGCATTGCATGTGAAAGCTGTTTAGCCATTTCTTCTGGTACCAATAAATTCACTGCCATAAACCAAAGCACTGAGAACACAAGCCTGATAGACAAGAATTTTATCTGCTCATTGTTGTTGCTGCTTTACCTATCCTGATGTAGATTTCTTGGTCCAGTGATAGTTTGTTATTCACTGTAGATCCCAGATAGGTAAAATGGTCAACTGTGACCAGCTCTTCACTGTCAATATAGACTGCGATTCTGTCATTAACAACTTGGGCCATAGCCTTTGTCTTCCCTTTGCTGACTGTTAATTGACATATTAGTGATATAATTTTAAGCCCATACTTTTATAAGCAAATGTAACAATGTGGTCACTATCACACTAGCAGCCTCAGGTGCAGCTGGAAAGCACTGAATGAAAATAAGTCAGCGATAAAGAGATCATTTTGATCAACTGTTTGTATCTTTCTCAGTGTAGTGTAACAGATTATAATCCAAGTAATTGCTTAAATTTCAGCAACAACAAAACAATTATTTTATGACCAATCAAATTCATCCATCACATTAATGTTATTTATTAGTTTTATTGTCATATTGCCATACACAGAATGGAATGATGATGGCCTGAGGTTAAACTTCTGCAAGCAGCAGTTACTGAAAACATGCATGGTTTTTTTTTAAAGAGACTTTCTGTTGCAGCCTCAAACCAAATTTAAATGTATAGCCTCTTGAAATATTGTGACTGTTCAGCTGGTCAATCAGTGAAACAGAAAAAAAGGGGTAGGGAAGAGTAAAGCTTTAAGGAGCCAAGTTTCACAGTGGTTTACTTAGCTAATGTTACTGGATGTTGTCTCCAGTGGAACGAGAGCTATGCATTACTGATGCTTTTTTAGTTAAAGCTTTACTCTTTAGCTGGCCTCTGAAAACGCCACAGCAGCCTCCTATCCGCTTCAAAATCTAGTGCAGAAAGTAGATAACTGGGCATCGGATTAGGGCCTAAAATTTTCATTGACCTTCTCGCCTTTCCAGACGATAGCCATATATTGTCTTAGCGAGGCTCGTGAATCACAGCCAGTTAAGGCCAGGGATGAAAGTCATCATCTAAAGCACACAAAACCTGGACATTATTGTAGAGTTCAGGTGTTGCCCATACAGCATTACCCCTCGCTCGGCATAAAGGTGAACTCAATACATTTGGATTAAAGCATGCTGCAGAGGCTGCTGGATCAGAAGGGCACTGTTCTGTCTGTCCGCCTGTCGGAGCTTGCCTCATAGACCAGCTGCAAGACAATGATATGGACCCGGTAAAATTGTTCTTATATTAAAGATGTGATCACTAGTTCCTCTACCCTGTCTGAAACCCGCTTCTGCTTCATCTAGCTCATATTGTAATTTCTTTTCAATCCTTTTCATGATAATTCGTAAGAGGATTTTGCTAGCATGACTTATTAATGCGATGGTAGGGTAGTTGAAGCATAGTTTCAGATTTACTTTCTTTTGGAAGAGGGATATAGACTGTTCTCTTATACGCTTTAGGCCAAATTCCACTGTTCCAGATCTTCGAGCACAGTGCATGGTAGATTCGGACGCTGGCCTCTCCTGCTTGAATTAGTTCTGATGGTATTTCGTCGCAACCTGGTGACTTTCCTTTCTTCAGGCTGTGTGCTCATAGTACCTCATCCAGTAAAGGCTCTGGTTTTTTTTCATAACTTTCGCACGTCATTTTTGAATTACTTGTCTCATCCTCATACATTTCTCTACAGTATTCTTTCCATCTTTCTAATATGTCTTTCTTCTTCTTCTTTTGTCAAAATCTGCTTGTGCCGCTCGGCGTCGCAGTCTATCAGATGATCGGCAACCGAGCCAGGGCTCGCTCAGTCGCTTCATATGCCGTGATGTTGGGAAGTCTCAAGTTGTCCGTGACTCCTTCAATCCATATTCTTCTTGGTCTTCCCCTGCCTCTTGGTGTTTCGATTTTCATGTTGTATGCTCTTGATGCTGGCATCGTTGGTTCCATTCTCATTAGGTGACCAAACCATTTCATTCTTTGCTTCTCAATAAATTTAACGATGGGTATGGTTCCAATAGTTCTTGTAATCACATCGTTTCTCACTCGATCTCTTCTGGTTTTATTTGCAGCCATTCTCAAACATCTCATTTCACAGGTGGTTAGTCTTCTCTCATGTTCTTTTGTTAATGTTTAAGTCTGACATTGATAACCTAATGTCGGTATAAAGATTGTATTTATAATTTGTCTTTTTATCTCAGCTGGGACAGCAGGGTGTTTTAAAATTGGGGCAAGCTGGTACGCGACATTGTTGGCTTGATGGATTCTTGCTCCGATCTCTCTGTCTATTTTACCATTGAATGTAAAGATACTTCCCAAGTATTTAAATTCTTGCACTTGTTTTAGGCTGTGATCTAGAATCTTTATGTCGATGGTCTGTTGCTCTCTGCTTATGCTCATGACTTCTGTCTTTTCAGTATTGATCTTCATATGATGCTTGAGGCAACTGTCATGTAGTAGGTTTATGTGGTCTTGCAGCTGTTTACTATCACTGTGAAATAGGCATTGATCGTCGGCAAAGAGCAGCTCATTGAAGTCCTCCTGTTTATCGACATCTGTTGGTGTTATGTCTATTTTATTAATATTGTCCATAAATATTATGAAAAGTAAAGGTGATAATACACAACCTTGTCTTACTCCTGATGTTACTGGGAACCAGTCTGTGATGCCAGCTCTTGTTCTAATGGCGCTTTCACTTTGTCTATAAATAGCCCTAACACAATCTAAAATTGTTCCTTTTATACCGTATTTTTCAAGAACTTTCCATATAAATTTCTGTTTACTCTATCAAAAGCTTTTTCTTAATCTATGAAAGCGATGTTCATTTGATGTCTGTGTTCTATTGTCTTTTCGCTAACTTGTCTTAAAGCAAAAATAGCGTCAGTACACCCTCTTCCTTTCCTAAATCCGACCTGTGATGGGCTCAGGATCGGTTTTACAACGGATCTAATTCGTTGTTCCAGAATTTTGGCAAACATTTTTCCTACATGGCTTAGAAGGGAGATGCCTCTGTAATTGTTACAATCTTGCTTATTGCCTTTTCTTTTCCAAATTAGGACTATAAGGGCTCTTTGCCAGTCTATTGGTACAGTTCTTTCATTCCAGGCTTTCCTAAATATGTGGAGTAGCCAGGTGACTCCAATTTCTCCACAAGCCTGTATTGCCTCGGCTGATATTCCATCAACACCTGATGCCTTATTTTTGGGACTGCATCTGATTGCTTCTCTGACTTCTTGTTCGATTATTGTAGGCTGTTCCTCGTTTGTACATCTGGGTGTGAATGGTACTGTTTCCTCATTTCCTGTTACATTCAGAAGAGTGAAAATATTTTTTCCACCTTTCTCTGATCTTGCCCTCCTCATGTATGGGTTTGCCTTGACTATCATTGACATATTCAGATGGCTGGAATGGTTCATCTCTAGTTCTCATTTTTGCAATGGTTTTGTAAAACTGTCTACTAGATTTAGCACAGATTTTGGTAAGATTTTCCCCATACATGATCCAGGATGTTTCCTTGGATTGTTTAATTTCTCTTGCAGATTGTCGCCTGGCAATTCTGTACTTGATATAATCGTCATCTGAGCGGGATCTTAGCCATTTCTTGTATTGTTCCTTTTTACATTTCACTGCTTGTTTTACGTTATCATTCCACCATGCTGTTTTTTTCCCGAACGTTCCTCCTGTGTA